TAAGCAAAGAAAGACCGAAAACAATGAAGTCAGAAAGAGAATGGTTAGCTAGATTAAAATGGCGGGAAACTGGTTTGGTGGGATCGTTATTGCGAATATCATAAAGATGATTGCAAATGCGAAACGTCAGTAAGTTTTTTCATCTTTTCACGGTGTATAATTTACCTTTTCATCATTACTTTGTTGAAGGTTTCTTATGGTAATACTAGAGTTATTGTACTCCCACTTAGTTCAACCGATTCTTCAAAAGGCACCGTTATCTCCATTGATTAATCTCGTGATCACTCGCTCACAAATTAAACAAAAAAGCGCACAAAGAAACCAAGGCAAGGAAGAACAAGCTATTTTGTAAATGGATGAAAAGATCTAAAGCTAAACAAAAGAGGTACATCAATTCTATCCTTTCCGTGTATAAAGGGCTAAAGGGGGAGGTTTTTGTGGACGATACGGGTCAATGAGTGACCTCTTTGAGGCAATTACAAAAACATACTAAGCGAGCTTATTACTAGAAGACTAAACCAGACACATACCAATGTTCTAAGTTGTCCAGTTATTATGTAATTCTAGGTTGCAATATTCTAGATAATTGGTCACAAACATACCACAAAATGATGAACCACTTATTCTTAACAGCCGTGCTATTTTACTTGGTCATGAAAAATTAAACTTTTTAGTAATAGTTAATAATAAATAATATAGAATGATATTTAGATTATTCACTGATGATCGTCTGGTAACTTCATCAAAATGATAGTAAAGTAAACTTTTAAATAAAACCATTTTGCAAGTTATTAATTTTTCTTTTCTTTATGTTTAAATAAACTAAGATAGTGAATTCTTACAATTAGAAGAATAACTACATGACGCATTAATAACAATCATAAAAGCGATTGTTTTGTTTTTTTGTTTTGTTTTTGCCTTAACATCAGTTTTATAGGCCATGACGTTTGTCTTCAAATGCGAAAGACAAAATAAAGGGCGGGTTCACCAGACGTAACCTCTGATGCAGCTAGTCATTCCGGCATAAAGTAAATTAACTCGATATGATTTTAGTATATTTTCAAAGCAACTGGCCCAAGAGTCTGAGTTTTTTTGAATAACACTATCATTTCTTTATAGATTTATTGGCAATCATCTAAACAAAAGGGTAGACTTGTTTACGCATTTTCATCTCGCCTGTATAAACCTCAAGTGTGTAGCGAAATAATTAGTGTATTGAGAAGTATTATTATGCCGCTTAAAGTCCGCAGTCTTCGAAAAAAGTGGTGATGTTATCGTTTCGAAAACAAGCTTTTAGCCTCCGTAACTGAAATGCTATTTTTATTGCTTCTATCAATGCAGACTAATTGCCTAATGGATGATTGAACCCCAAAGAGCAGTGGTATTGTTATGACAATAATAAAGTCAATCCAATACAAGTCCAATTTAATCTGCATGAATCTAAACCAAAACAATCGTCATGTTCCTAATGATGTTTTTAAAGCTGGGATGCCTTTGGCCAATCAGGGCTCAGAAGAATCACTTAAAATGTCGATCATAACCTTAGATGACTCATATGGGGCCAATCAGGTGTCAGATGAGCCACTTAAGCTGTCAATCAATGATTTTAGATGACTCATATAGGGAATAACAGCGACAAATCATTGGTTTTTTTTCTTTCAGTTTTTATGATACTATAGTCTAGTTCCTTATTCATTTCATCTAACGGTCAGTAATCGTTCTTATCTTTAAAGAAAGTAACGCAAAACAGAGACAACATGGCGAATCCCTATGTGAGCAAAAGACTAGATCTTGATTTTACGATTTTCAAAAACAAAACAACTGATATCTTCAAATCAAAAAAATCGTCGGTGATTTGTTTATGTGACTGCAGATAGGAAAAAAACCGAAAAGCGTGTAATTATTTTGTTAATTTCCTTTTTTGAGAGAAATATTAAACATGAATTGATCTCACGCTAAGAGATGTTTGAAAATAAATTAGTTTAAATGAACCCAATATATTTTTATTACCAGAAATATAAAAACACCGAAATAAGATTATGGATTATGAGATTGAAATCATTAAAAAATTAGTGCGCGTGTGCTGTTAAAAACCGACGTGTTGCTATTGCAACGTTAACCACGCCTTGTTATTATCTTCGTTAYGTCATAGGACTGACGAACACTGCCCACGCCACTTGTTTATTTTTTCTTTTTCCTCGTTTAGAGAGTTTTGAAGACGACGTCTTTGTGAAATAATTTGACTTCAAAGTATTAAAATATCACTTGCCATTAATAGACCTCCTTAGCTCAGACTAATGTTTTCCCATTTCAGACCAGATGCCATTCTCTTGTAAAAAGATTCCCTATTTGAGTTATATCCAAATGTATGTATCTTCTCGTGCGCAGCCGTTTTAGATAATAATAAACTGTATATAATAATAATAATAATATAATAATGATAATGATAATGATGATGATGATCATAATCATGATTATGATAGAAATGAAACAATAAGGAATGACAATTGGACTGGAAGAAGTGTAATACAATATTCCGATTGTCAAAAAAAACGAAGCCAAGAGTAGCTCCGAGAAGGCATGTGCAGTGCACCACTCCCAGAAACAGCATGCTATGACATGACCACTATTATCTCCTATCCATATTGTGAAGTCAGTGAAAGATAAGAGCTAATAAAGGAAATTACTCT